GCAGCTCTTGTAGATTTAAGTTTGGTGACGTTCAGCATTTTAGCAGGTTTCTGGCCTTGGGGTCTTCTCGTGGGCAGGATGCGTAGCTTAAATTTGGATGTGATGAGGCGATGGTCAGTCCAGCAGTCAGCACCGCACATGGCTCTGGTCACTCTAACGTCCGGCCTGTCCCTTTGCCTGGTGATGACGTAATCTAGGAGATGCCAGTGGCGAGAGCGAGGATGCATCCAGGACGCCTTGTTGCGAGTGGGTAGGCGGAACAAAGTGTTGGTAATGACGAGGTCGTGCGTAGCGCACGTTTTTAGAAGTAGTTGGCCGTTGCTGTTACATTTGCCAATTCCGTGTCTTCCAATTATCCCCTCCCAGCTCTGATGGTCTGTCCCTACTCGAGCGTTGAAGTCCCCGAGAACTATGAGCTTGTCTGATTTTGGGACTGCTGAGATGAGGGCATGCAGGTCTTCGTAAAACTTGTCTTTGGTGTCGTCAGGATTTGTCATCGTAGGAGCATAAGCGCTGATCAGTGTTGCACTTTTCTTGCCTGTTATTTTTATCTGTAGTTTCATTAGGCGATCGTTCAGGCCTTCTGGAAGCTTATTGAGTTTTCGAGAGAGGTGGGTCTTCATAGCGAACCCCACTCCTGCCTCACGCCTTTCATCGGTGTTGCGACCGCTCCAGAAGAAGGTATAGCCACCACCGTCCTCTGTCAGTTGGCCCTTTTCCGCAAGTCGGGTTTCACTTAGAGCTGCAATATCGATGTTGTAGCGAGCAAGCTCTTTTGCAACCAATGTAGTTCTTCTTTCTGGTCTGTCTGCCTTGGTGTTGTCCAGCAAGGTGCGGACGTTCCATGTGGCAAGTTTGAGGGCCACCATTCTTTTTCTTGTTGTTGATCGACCGCTGTAAGGGGATCCCCGCCAACCGCGGTGAGCTGGCCAGGGTAGGCTGAAGCAGGCTATTTTTAGGGCACCTTTTCTAGCCCCTTCCTCCTAGGAGGTGAGCAGAGCGAATCCTAAAAAGGGCTGCTCAGACACCCAGGGGGCTGCCGAGCTCCACTGCTGCTTCAGTTCAGTAGAGAGTGACCCATCGCCCTGAGCCGCCTGTGTGCAGGTCTGTGACTGCAGCTCCCAGTGTATCCACACCTGCTGCTTCGCCACTCGCCCATCGCCACAGGACTTTTGTTGCGCTGTAGAAGGAATGAAGTCATGACTTGCGCTTGACTTGGATTACAGTGAGGGAGAGTTGCGCAGGTCGTCAGCCTCACTCTCTCGTCCCGGCCCATATGTAGCCAGTGGCAGGACATGGTCGAGACGACTGGAGAGAGGCCAGGATACAGTGGGTGGTCAGCAGTGTCCTTTGTGCCTCACTGTGCCCTATGCTGCGCTCCACAGCGCTTTGCTGGGTCCGCCTTTCCACCCGTTGAACCCTGGGGGTTTCCTCCGCGCAATCTGCCGGAGCCAGTCTTTGTGTACTAGGGGTAGACATTCCCCGCCCGAAGGCTCACTCACGTAGTTTAGCCGGTCAGCCAAAACCGTTGCCCGGGGTGTGGCCACTGCCGTACACTAGCAGTATCCGTGGAGCCATACGTGAGCTAGGTGCAGAAGTGGGGACCAAGTAGGGTCGTGACCATCCATACAGGATGTGACTGTCATTCACCGTGAGGTACTACCCCTCCCTCTGAACCCAACAAGGTGATAGAAGCAAGAAGAACCCCCTCTCAACCCCCCCCCCCCCCCCCAGGTCTTTCTCCCTGAGATTACCCCCCCCCCTTTCCTTATACAAAAGAAAATTACAAAATAAACGTGCACCTCAACTCATTCATTGCACCCACATGGACACACATTTCTTGAGTAAAAAATCGAGATGTTTGCGATTAAAGGAGTTGCGGGTTGCCTGGAATCAGAAGCACAATTATCGAGAAAAAGGCCGCCAAAGTTTGATGATGTCCAAAGTTTAGTCTCCTTGGCAACTGCAAATTTTCGGGGGGGGGGGGTTCTGTGCTTTTGGTCAACTTTTCTTCTATTTCATTATTTTGATGAGCGCCTGATTTACCCACGATGACTCACATGACATACAAGTTTCAAACAGTAGAAAAAGAACGTACCACCGAGTTCCCATTTGTTGTTTCTGAGGAAGTTCAAACCACCGCCGCTGTCAGCCTGCAAAGACAACAACCATCAGTATTGACTGTCTTTAAAACAAAATAAAAAATCTATAGGAACCGGTTATAATGTTCAACATTTGTCTCCCACATTACTCTTTAGTCCAGATTGAATACTACTATTTTGTCAGTGTCAAAAGATTTTGAAGACAATACAAAATTGTTTTGACTGAGCATGGCATTTTATTATTCCAAACAAACAGCCATATGATCTTAGATATTTCTTATATTTATTATGTAAATCAGTGTCATGTCTAATTACAATGATTTTTACTCTTTGTGCTTTAACAAATTCTTTGGAAATACTAGAGACAGATTTATTTTATTTAATACAGTTATGCCTCTTCTGTCTGTATCAATCAATCAATGAATCAATTAATCAATAAAATCGATCCATCAATTGATTAATCAACCAGCCAATCAATAAGTCCATTTTCAATCAATCAATCAACGTTCAGTAAATTAATCAATCGTTCTATCTATCTATCTATCTATCTATCTATCTATCTATCTATCTATCTATCTATCTATCGTTCACCTATCTATCTGTTCATGTGTCTGTAAACTGACCTGGCAGGCGTCTTTCTTTCCATCCGTGTATCCAGCACAGAGCATGCGATTGGTGATATCATAATTTGAGTAGCGTTCGCTACAAAGAGTGTTGGACTTCACAGGTACCACGGCTTGTAAAAGTGCTGTCGAAGTAGGTCCATCTGGTTGAAAATACAGAGATTGGGCTTTTTAAATGACGTCTAATACGCAGCTATGCGAACTTATGATTAAGTTAACTGACAAAAAGGAAAGGAATATGCATTCAAGCATAGGGGGGGGGGTAAATAGACTGATAGAACCCCCCATATTAGGTATACATAAGAAAAGATCAAATGGATAGATTCATTAAAAGATATCCATATCATGAGCAGCAAGGAAACTGCAGAGCTTCGTAAATTGATGCCTACGAAGGATAGTGGGGATCAAGAGGTACGATCGAGTCACAAATGCTCGACTGTGGGAAAGAACAAGCCAGAGGTCAGAAAAGGAAGACATATAGGTGAAGAAATGGAAATGGATTGGGCACACCCTGAGGAGACCCCCGACAAGCAACATCAGGCAGGCTTTAACGTGGAATCCACATGGAAAACGTAGGAAGGGAAAACCAAAGATGACATGGAGGCGAGAGGTACAAGCAGAAATGGAAAAAACGGGGACATAATGGAAACAGCTAGTAAAGGATGCCCAGGACAGGCTTCGCTGGAGTAATGCTGTTGATGGCCTCTGCTCCACTGGGAGTTAAAAAGGACGAGAGAGAGACAGAGAGAGAGAGAGAGAGAGAGAGAGAGAGAGAGAGAGAGAGAGAGAGAGAGAGAGAAATCCATATCATGAATACGTATGCTTGCTCTCAGACAAAAAGATTGTTTTGATGGCATTGTGTGTTATTTGGAGTAAAAGTTTTGAAATGAGTTCTTTGTGACTGTCAGGTTCCGACTTGCATTTTGGAATAACCGACAGCAGAATAAGCTTCATTGCCAAGTAAAATAAGATAATGGATGCAAACGTTATCAAGTGAAGCTAGGAAATTGACCTGTGATTATAGGAATATGAGATCAGCGTCCCACCAATTTAGCTAGAACTTCCGCTGGACAAGGGTTAATTATAAAGGAAGCAGAAAGTGGCGTCGCTGTGAGTAAATCAACATCACAACATTTATTATGTTGTTTTCACGAATACATTGGCGAATGATTATTTAACCTGAAAAGAACTAAAATATCGCTAAAATTACCAAACTAGTGCCGGAAAACACATATCTGCTTTTTTCTGATACAAAGTTGCAGAAATACTCGGACATGCTTCACCTTGATAAATAGCGCCCCATCCTGTAACAATGCCCTTTTCGCCCTCATTTGCGTTTCTTGAAGGAAGACAAATGGGCCAGATTTTATCGGTCTGTTCAAGTGAGGTTGAGACTTGGAAAACTGCGATATCGTAGTCTAAATTTTGATCGTTGTACTTCCTGGAACAAAAAACACCAAGGAATTAATTCAAGGTTGTCATCACTCACTTCTGTTAGTGCATCAATATCAATGTTCCGATCAATGTTCCGTTTTTCAGGAATCGTAAACTTATTATGCGGACCTTTTCTTTTCTTGCACCTGGGGTCAACCCTTTGTGTTTTTTGTCACCAAATATTATTCTAGTTTCACACAATTAGCCTGAAAAACAACAGTAGTAAACAAAAGCAGCTGCCATTGGTATATTTTGGGAGGTTATCATCGTAAACTTCCCAGTAGAGCTCATTGAGCTAAGGTAGAGTTCCAAGGTGTAAAGCTAAAAAAGAAATTCTTTTCCTCGATATTTTATTAACAACTTTTTACAGTTCTCTAGATCGTAATAGTTACATGTGCTCTGAAAATTGGTTAATAAATTCCTATGTTAACAATGGATAGGAATATCATTAATACGATTTCAAAAAGAACCCAATGAACTGCTAATAGTTGCAAGCTTTCGCGGGAAACCACTGAATCGTAATCAGTTTTGTTGTTGTAGAAAGATGGAAAATCGTGTCGTTAAAAAGTTTCGGAACAACCAACATTAATTGTACGACTGATGCCAGTTGAATGCAATACCGGTGTCTGTGGTGTGGCGGTTATGTGCTTCGCGAGAGACCCAAGCTCTATTACCGTGTTGGAGGAAATCGAGTTTCTCGGTCTTTCTACTGGGACATGTTGTATCCATCTCAGCCAGAGCTAGAGTTTGGAAGCCTGGCATCCACCAAAATGACCTACCTTGTGTTTTTATTTGAAAACAAAGTCTCTCTCTCTCTCTCTCTCTCTCTCTCTCTCTCTCTCTCTCTCTCTCTCTCTCTCTCTCTCTCTCTCTCGTTCTTACTTTCTCTCTCTCTCTTTCTCTCTCTCTCTTTCTCTCTCTCTTTCTCCCCCTCTCTCTGTGTTTGTTTGTGTGTGTGTGTGTGTGTGTGTGTATGTGTGTGTGTATGTGTGTGTGTGTGTGTGTGTGTGTGTGTGTGTGTGTGTATGTCTGTCTGTGTGTCTGTCTCTGTCTTTCTCTCGCTCACTCTTTATTTCCTGCATTGAAGTATGCGTGGTTTGGTTTACACCTCACATTGATGCCAGTTTTAAATATCCACAATCATAATAATATTGTCAATTCTGTGCGTTGTGATTTAAAAGGCATAAAACGTACAGTTAAGGTTTTTTTTAAACTCGCATTTTTAAACCAGTTTATAAAATAAGTAGGAAGACGTACATATTGTAAACAATGACATAAGAAAAATGAAGTATTGAAACACAGATGATGTGGATGTTCCTTACTCGTGCTCAGTCTTTGTGCTGAACTCGATAACCGTCCCTCCAGATGTTGTGTGACTTCCACAGCGAGCCGTGAAAAAGGCAGAGTGAATACCGCTGTAGGAAGAAACACAAACAAAAAATAAAATATGATGTGATAGTTACTGGAAAGGGGGGGGGGGTATTGTTCCAAAAATATCACTCTGTCCATCTTCATTCAGAGTAGTAGCAGCAGCAGCAGCAGCAACATCAGGAGTAATAGCAGCAAAATGTATCATTATTTTCATTAGTAGTAGTAGAAGTACTAGTAGTAGTAGTAGTAGTAGTAGTAGTAGTAGTAGTAGCAGTAGTAGTAGTAGTAGTAGTAGTAGTAGTAGTAGTAGTAGTAGTAGTAGTAGTTGTTGTTGTTGTTGTTGTTGTTGTTGTTGTTGTTGTTGTATATAGAAGCGTGTCTGTATTAGTGTTACATCTATTCAATTTCCATTTTAATTCCATCTGATCGCCTATTTACAAGATTGTCATACTAGGTATTTGAAATCATTTTGTTTACAACTTTCTATCTATAAGACGCTCTCCGCGTTCATTTTGACACCTATTCGAAAGGGCACAACTTTACCTTCCATTCATGTGAAGTCCCTACAGCTATATTCTGATACCTAATTTGTTGTATTGCCTTATCTATACTTTCATAGAAGTTCTCTTCCTCTGTATTATCATGCTTTGATATGTGTGCTTATAATTGTAATGTTTCTGTGTGAAAAGGTATTCCCTTCGAGTGTAATTACTCTAACTGAAACTCAAAAAGAAAAATAACGTTTATGCTCTCAACCGTTGCTCCATCAAATGCAGTTCCCATACGGCTTTTGTAGTTTTTTTCCTTGAATATAATAGCATAGTTTTAATTCGTGTTTTGAGTGAGCTTTCCTTTTTATTTATGCACCTCCTGAAAGACCCACTACGTATTAAATTTTTCCAATCTAATTCGTGTACAATGTTGTCTAGTTTGTGTTTATGATGCATTGTCTTGGCAATTGATTCCGATTAAAATCAGCAGCTGGTTGGCGAAAGGGCGACACCTGTTGCAGATGGTAGTCCCTACCAACCTTGAAGTTCAGAGCTAGATCTTGAACACCCTCCCCCTCCCCAACCCCACCCCCCACCCCCCACCCAGAAATCCCGCTTTTATCTGGGAAAGTATTTTCACGTTTAATGCTATCTTATAAAATTACATAAGTGGTTTCACGTTGCCTACTCACTGCCGTTTAGTGTAGTTTTCTCTGCTAGCCTCTGTCAGGCCAATAACTATAACCAAGGCAGTGGGGGCTATAGCAGGATTTATGGCGCCGCCAGTTCCCAAGACGGTCCCCTCTTTGAGAGTTACGATAGCATCAAATTTACATACTCCGACCCAGGGACGTCTACTTTTATCCTTGATTGTAGATGATGATGATGATGAAGATGACGTTGTTGATGATGATGATAATGAGGATAGTTATGATTGTGACGACTTACGAAGTGCAATGGGCCGCGGTAACAAAGAACCAACGACCAGCTGAATTTCGGACCAGACTGCCCCCACAATGATGGTTGCTAAAAATCATGAGACTGCACTGTTTGGGAAAGAAAACAGTCATCATCAATAACACAAATATACAACGTAACATTTTAATGACTTCATGACACTGTATAATTATCAATTCTCATTGGAGTGTAGCCATACATTACGTCATTTGATGCCAGAAATTCCCCCGACTTTCGTTCGTCTCGCTGCTTAAAGAGAATGGGTGTTCCTTTTCTTCAGTTTTAAAGAGAGATTCAACAGTCTCCTCTGATTTAGTTCCTTGCCGTAATGATTCATATGATCGCAACCTTTCGTTGAATCTTCAGCACTTTTAACAGTGACCGACTCCTGTGGTCCCACGGCTACCAAGAAAAGACTTGCTCGTCCCACGGTCACGAAGTATGACGTCGTGAGATTGTGAAGAGGGACTAACGGGCGAAAATTGCCTCATTTGCATACTTACAACCGTGCAACGTGTGGAAAGCCTCCTTGTGCGCGTGAGCCATACAACATGCCGGGTAAGTGAGTATTTATTAAATGCGCTCCCCCCCACACTCCGGCTATTTTTTCCCCACCCACGTGCGCCAGCACATTATGATGCAACCTGTGTAATAGTGAAGCAGCATGAATGAACATATTGCAGTAATGCTTATTTACTAGAGGAACCATGATGCCTTTCTTCCTGTTTTATCAAGTAAATGGTTCCACAGTCTGAAGGATGCGTTAGACCATTCATTCAAAAATAACCCAAAGTCTTGATACTCCCTTTTTACTAATTAGGCCATAGTTAAAGACAAATTGAGAAGAAGAAAAAAGAGGACCGAAAGCAATATCCAACTGCAACCAATTATTACACAAAGGTCATGTTCCTTTTTTGCCATTGGTCATCTCTGCGATATGTGGTCTGTATTATCGCATAACATCGCATACGTAAAGTATCGTGCGTGCTCATGCTATTCACGTTTACACTGTGCTGGTTCTCGTATACTCTTGTGTTTTGGTGGAGGGTGTAGTTCCTGAGACGATGTACCCCATTTGCACCGCTATTATACGGGCAAAGTCCTCATTATTCACAAGTTTTGGGTTTATCAAAGTAGCGAGAACACTTTAACGTGAATAGAATTACAAATACATTTTGGGACGGTTTTTAGGTTTGTTTGTTTGTTTTTGTTTGTATTTGGCATGGACGTCTCCTAGTCAGTTAAGAACAGTATCTTACAAGCCTATTGAAATGTGAAGGACTTCTAATAAATTGGTTATCTCCCATAAAATCCAGCGACAAAGGAAAAGTACTTCTAAAGACCCATGTTTTGCTTACGCTGCAGAAGGTCTGGTTCGGGATTCACATTAAAGTGGTCAACAATATCATTATCTCCGAGTAATGCCAGATGAAGAGGGTTTTTTTTTCTTTATCAGTTTACATTGGTTTTATAATTTTATATAACCTAGATACTGAGGAGAGAGAGAGAGAGAGAGAGAGAGAGAGAGAGAGAGAGAGAGAGAGAGAGAGAGAGAGAGAGAGAGAGACAGACAGACAGACAGACCGACAGACAGACAGACAGACAGACAGACAGACAGACAGACAGACAGACAGACAGACAGACAGACAGAGACAGAGACAGAGACAGAGACAGACAGACACACACACAGACAGACAAACAGACAGACAAACAGACAGACAGACAGACAGACAGACAGGGGAAGAGGGAGAGAGAGGGGGGTAGAGAGAATACACAAATACTTTCAATGAATATACCTGATCTGGCTTAATCACATAGCTTTAAAAAAGTATGGATCGAGCAGGATCTTCTTGGATAAGGACAAGAAATTTCGGAGTCCCGTACGGAAGTTTTGCACGTTTAAAAAACCCTTGCCTGTTCTAAAATCAAAAAGCGTAGGCCCTTCCAGCCACCATCTGGGAAAAATTCAAATTCAATTACAACCCAAAACTGAAGCCACTTTAGCCAGAGTAATGTGTGCCAATATTGAGAGTACATTTGAAAACAGGACATGGCTGCCTATCCGGTCATAGGGATAGTTCTACATTCTATGTGGATGAAATTGCCTTAGGAGCAAAACTGAATGTTCCACAGTGAGACGAAGATTGTTCTATTATTCCCTGAGCTCTAGCAGGAGTACGAGGCACAGACAACAAGGACAACATTACGGAAGGCAAAATTTATCAGATAAACATAATAACAGCATAAAATCTCTTTTTTTTAAAGACCCCTCTTCTTCCTTCCTCCCCCCCCCCCCTCCCCCCGGCCGCCACCCTGCCAAGAAAATAATTATAATGGTAAAACTATAATATGAAGAAAGATCTCTACAAATGACGAAAGTGGAGGGGCTCCTCCAGAAATCGAATAAAGAACATGTAGAAATGAGCTATGGAGCTAATTTTGTACCTGATGACCCCAGGAGTTTCGTTTGGCTTCTTGACCTCCCACTATCCGAGCAACCGCGTTGAGTTCATCCTGGCCATTGTTTGCTATATTGCGGTTCCCGCAGTTGCTCCACGCACGGCTGAGAAAAGTCAAGACAAAAAGACTGTTAGCCCTCACGATAGGGCGTTGGTCGTCTCAAGTTAAGTCTGAACCAGTCCTAGCTAACCTGGGCGCTATGGCTCACAAGTGGGCGATTTGGTCATTTTTGTGAGGTGACGGTTGTTATTTATTGCCCTGCTTGAAAATACGTGTAATTGGGCAGCAGGAAAATGTTAGCCTCTTAAAGGTAACAAAACAGGGCTGGCTATAAAAAGATGACAAGCGCTGGTGTATACGCTACAGGCTGAGGCATTGAAAAGGTGACGTATATTGAGCCTTCGTTTAAACAATGTGGGTTATCTGGAAAATGGACTTCTTCTTCCCGTCTTGGCTGGGCCAACTCTCACTGTATAAATAAATAGAATAACAAATTACATTTTTTTATTGATCCCCATATGGCAATTTGGATTAAAATGGCAAACATACATAACACAAATTATAAATAAATACGTCCATAAATACATACACAAATACTTAAATACACAGTATCGCACCAAAGAACAATTTCACAAGCATGCCTCTCATTGCTGGTCGCCACTGTTTTTTTTAGTTAGGGTTGTCGTGTCTTGCTCAAGGACACACTCAAGTGACCACCCGCCTAAACACTGTCTCATTGCGTGCTTGGCATTACTTTTTGAGCCTGAACTCACTTCTCATTTAGCCACCGAAGTACCATGCTGGCATTGATGAATATTACTATGTGTGTTGTATAATAATGAAGTGTCAATTTTTGTACGAGTAGAATTCTTATCTTTTGTCTTACAGTCATAAGTCTTATTAATTATTTCATTAAAGACATTTGGTTATGTAAAAAATGGGTAGTGGCGAGTGCACACACACACACACACACACACACACACACACACACACACACACGCGCGCGCGGGCGCGCGCGCGCACGCGCGCACGCACACTTAAACACACACCAATACACACTCACACACATACACCTGCACATATTACACAGACGAAAGAGAGACAGACAGACAGACAGACAGACAGACAGACAGACAGACAGACTGAACAGACAGACAGACAGACAGACAGACAGACAGACAGACAGACAGACAGACAGACAGTCAGACAGTCAGACAGACAGACAAACAGACTGACAAACAAAGACATAGAGAGATGGAGAGGGGCAGACTGACAGATAAAGGGAGAGAAAGTGTGTATATGTGTGTCTTTGTGTGTGGGTGTTTGTGTACGTGTGTTTCTGTCCGTGTGTGTGTGCGCGTGCTTGCATGCATGTGTACTTATTGTGTCCCAACTTCTACATTACAAAGATTCACTTTTGTTGCCATTTATTCTTTCAAGCAATGAATTGTTTCACTTCTCTGCACCACTGTAAAATTTCTCTCTATAAAACTTTTTTATTACTCTATTTATCCATTTATAAAACAGAATGCATGGTAATATCCAAAAAAGCAGCAAATCCTAGTTGTAATCTCATTAGCAAAGGTGAAAAGATCAAACAAGTCCAACAGTTTAAATATTTAGGATATATGATAACATCTGATGCCAAATCCTCCGCAGAAATAAAAGGGAGAACTGCAATGGCTAAGGCTAGTTTCAATAAAAATGAGCCCAATCCTGAAAAATAGAAACATATCAATGAACACCAAAATGAAAGTCCTGAAATGCTATGTTTGGTCAATCCTTCTATATGGCTGTGAATGCTGGACAATCACTAAAGACAGTGAAAATAAAATAGAGGCAACAGAAATGTGGTTTCTTAGGAGACTGCTAAGAGTATCGTGGAAGGAAAAGAAATCAAATGAGGTAGTGCATGATGAAGCCCACGTGGGACGCTCAATGTTAAAAACAATCAGGAAACGACAAATGCAGTTTTTGGGACACCTGAATAGACATAAGGGTCTTGAACATCTAGCTCTCACTGGCAAAATTGAGGGCAAGCGAGGCAGGAGTAGGCCCAGAACAACATACTTAGGGAACCTTTATATGTTGTTGTTTTTCCGATCAACAATCACCGCAAGTTTTATATTACTTCCCTCCTCTCGCCTACGTCTTACCTTTCAAAAGTTTTAAAGCAATGTGCATTTTGTTTCCCAACAAAAGCGCAAATATTCGTATCCAAGGCTTATTCGTACAACCTCAATGATTTCCTCCTAAGTTTTAACTGACTGCAACAAACTTTTCTCCTCCTGAAACCCCCCCTTCCTTCAAAATATTTTCAAAGCAAGACGTGAAAATGAAGAAAAACTTAGAGTAACGCTTAGATATCTATCACAAGAAAAAAAAAAAAAGTTCAATCCGTCATACTTTTTTCCAGTTCTGATTGCTTCTTTTTGCATGCTTTGACCTGTTGAGCTCTTCTTTGTACCATGCTTACTTTCGTTTTTAAAAATAATTTTGGCCGTGGTAAAGATGCGCACATTAAGTACCTGGCCTTGCTATCATGTTTGTAAGTTGCTTTGAGTACTGAAGTGAAATCAAGGTTGGTCCTGTGATGAATCACCTAACGATGATAACAAATCAAATTACATTCGGAATCAGAAGTCCGTCCATTGTCTAAAAAGTACAATAAAGAATATGGGAACAAAGAAAAATCTATCTCGAGCTGTAACAAATCATTCCCTGTATCCATCTATCTATCTATCTATCTATCTATCTATCTATATCTATCTATCTATCTATCTATCTATCTATCTATCTATCTATCTATCTATCTATAAATATATCGAAAAACGAGCGATCGATCTATCGATCGTACGATCTATTTATTAATTCCATGATCTGTCTTCATCTTTCTAGTAATTCTGTGTAGCGCCTATGGTGTAGCGGTTAGGCACCTCACCGTCGCACATGGGAGACCAGAGATTGATTTCCAAGTTAAGAGTATCTCAGCTTCTGCTGGTATCTTGTATCTCTCTCAGCCCGGAGTGACCCTGACAAGCAGGGTCAAACCTAAATTACCTAAATTGTGCTAATGGAGACGTTTGTTTTTGCGTTCATGCATATTTGTGTTAATATCTGTGTGTTACTCTGTGTGTGTGTGTATTTGTGTGCTATGTGTATGTGTTTGTGTGAGCATATGTACGCGTGCGTGTTTGTGTGTGTGTCTATGTGTGTGTGTTTGTTTGTGTGTTTCTTTGTGTGCGCATGTGTACTTGTGGGAATATTGTGTTATCATTTGGGGTGCGGCGGGTGCGATTTTCTTACTTTTCAACAGCAGCTGTGCAGCCTGCAAAAAAAATCAAAAATAAAATATTGATAAAGACAATGTTGACATAAAATATTTTGATAAAGTCAATAAAACAATACGTCAGTCTACTTTTATGCAAACAGTCTCCTTTTTACGCATATTTACTATTCTGCTAGGTTGAAAACTGCAGGGTACAAGAAAAAGAAAATTTGACCGAATCGTAAAGAAAGCTAGCAAGATCTCTGAACTTGTTTTTGGAAGAACTGGTGAACTGATTTTAATCATAAGTGTAAAATAAATAATATCAAAATTTTTAACGACACATGATACCCCCTGTTCCCACAAATTTTAAGATAACGTAAGAAAGATACAAAAGACGTTTCCTTCCATCTGCGATAAGGCTTTTGTCGGATTGCACATGAATGTGCATTGCTGTTTGATTTTTTAATGCACATATACGGATATATTCCTATACGATTCAAAAGAATATGAGATAAATTCCTGCTTGTGATTTGAGAGATGCAGCTTGTTTGACATGCTGTATTGTTGTCATTTTTATGTCCTCTTCATTGTGGATTCTTTTTATGGGAGAAAATAACGCACAATTTGAATTTTATGTACATTTTACATGACAATGTGTATTTATCATTGCTGAAAAGCCAAGGAAAATTTCCCTCAGGGATAATAAAGTATCATCTTATTATTAACGTATCTTTTAAAAAAAACTTGTGCATTAATTCTTAAACAACTGAAATCTCAAGACTTGTGTTGATTGTGTTTTCCTAAGCATGCTTTAGAAACAACTTAAAAGGAAAATAAAATTACTGGATTAATGTAATGAAAATACTGAACGCCATTATAAATGCAAGACTTTGTTCGCAGACTCTGTACACGTTTGTATCAAATGAAGATAGATTAAAACAAATAAAGTAGGTTTTTTTAAGTTATTAATTTCCCAACAAATATGGACCATTTTTTATCACAGACTTCAAATAATTTCAATACCTTATCTTCTTTCTTTCGTAGTACCCCTTCTAGACAAATGAAATGTGCAGATAAGCACAAGTGGAAACATAATTTTTTTTATCTCTCTCTTAGTAAACCTCAGCGTTAACATGTATTGAGATCAAAAGACTTCTTCACAAGGATATTTAAAAATTTTGAATGTTTTGTTGAGAAATTCTAATTCACTTCCGCGTCAGTGCGACCTCTAATTGCTGCAGATTTGTAGGATGACTGAGAGGTTCTGATTTTTTTCCCGTGCTATTGCGCACAGTGGATAGATCTACGGCGCCGTTGCCGTGTATTCGTCAATAGCAGTTCTAAATAAGGAGTTCTTGTTTTAAGTCCTGGATAACTACTCGGCACCTCACATTGATGGAAGAAACATTGTAAAGAAATAAAAATCAAAACTGATCCCTAAAATGTCCGGACTTCTGTTTGGAAAGAGTCACTTGTTATGTTCTGAGTTAATTTAAATTGTTTTCGCGAGTAATAGTGAGACAAATCAACACACTTTACCTAAGCGCGTGTCACTGTGCTGTGATGAAAAATACTTCTAGGAAATACCAAAAATCATGCATGGACGTGTGAATTAACAACTACTCGCCTGTCTTTAAAACTCGTGGCGATCAGAGCATAATATTTAATTTTGGCTTTTATATAGTCTTTTAAAAACGTTGCAGTTTTAATAGCGTTCAGTGTATCTTTTCTAACAATACAAACAAAATGTAAAGCAATTGTTACCTATAACAGCTACCAAAGCGACGAAGATGACCCAACCAGACATGTTTGGGTGTAACGTGGAACTAAGTGCACGTATGGTGACGTAGAGGCTGGTTTATATAGAATTGTAGACCGTGAGAAAAGTAACACTAATACGTCTGTTATCTTTGAAACTGTTCAGACAACATAATGTTTCGTAAAAGAATAATAACACAAGTAACTTAAAGGCAGTGTAGATTTACGTAGTTGAAAAAATGGGAAAAAGGAATGCTATTGAAAGATAGGAAACTTGTATCTCAGTTTCCTCATGCAGGAAATAAGATGTCGCCTTGGCCTTTCTACAGCTCTGGTGTTGATTACGTAGACAAATTAGATCTACAATGTCCAGTATTTTTCACTTGTCTGTGGGTAATGTAAAATCTCTAACTCTGTATAACACGACTCGTTTGGAGACTCATTCCAGACATACAGTAGAAGCACCGAGGATGAATAACAACTTGTAAAGGTTTAGTATCACTTGAAAGAGGTGAGCATTCTGATCTAGATCAATCGCTCCTCATCAACTCTTAGTAGCGTATAAAATTGTTTACGCTTCTCCTTACCAATCGACACAAGGTATAGCATTTAGGATGTGAACAGCTTCGACCTAGCTGTCAGGCCCAAACAAGGCAGCGTGTGATAAATCATCCCACCTGACAAACATACGGATAGTACTCGATCAAACATTTTCCCATTGAAGAATCGAACTAAAAACCTCTATGTTGTTTGGTGAAGAAACTGTCAATGACATCACAGAGGCTGGGGCTGTATATTGGTGAACGCCAGGTTTACAAAATGATAAAAGTAAACTACAATGACAGCTTATCGCAGTAGTGTTATTGTAACATTATGAGTGAAAGAATTCCTCTCCATACTTTTAAGAATGGCGGGATCATAAGTTGTCTGTTTTTGACTGATTGGATACCTAACAATGTAAATTCAATTTCCAAACTGCTACTTGCTAAGTATGTTACAGTGCTTATTTGTAAAGTGTATCTATGTGGATGCTTATGCGACTTCACAATATCACCATTTCACAATACATGTATGTATAGTGTGAATAAAACTGATGACAAAACACCCCCTTGGGGCCCTCAAGGATGTGTTTAGTCACTAAACACGAACGATTGCAAAATGTACAACAGTAACATGAAGTTGATCAAATTTTGCGGAAGAATCAATTATAATTGGCCGCATGCAGGCAGACCATAAGGAAACCGCTTACCGGAATTTTGTACTTAAGTTTTCTGAATGGTGTGAAAATCATAAACTGCTTTTAAATGCAGAAAAAGTCCACTTGTTGACTTTAGAACAAAGAAACTGCCCCTGCAACCACTAGAAATGAAAAGTGAAAAAGCCGGGCGAGAGTCAGATTATAAGTATTTGGGGTGTTACAATAGACAACAAACTCAACTGGCGTGTCCACACTTCTCATCTGCTTAAAAAAATGAACAAAAAACCATTTTTTCTAAGGAAGCTCATGTATTTTAAAGTTGATAAAACCTTGATGTCCATATTCTGTCATTCAACCATAGAAAGTATGATCAATTTCTATATAACAGCGCAGGCCGAGAACACAAGACAACAAAATAAAGAAAAAAGGAAATCGATTAATACGGAAAGCATGTAAAATTTCAACATCTACATTCCCCTAATTGGATGAATTGTACATAACAGCTTGCACTAAAAAAATTAATTCCATCTTTTTAGTTAACAAACATCCCTAGTTCCCTCAAATAAAGACTTCAGTCGGAAGTAAAATACCTAGGCTTCTGATCAAAGAAAGATGCAGAAGGTCAGAAGGTCATTTTTACCACCACCCATCCAAATTCTTCCATCTTAACCATCTTGTCTTAAATATTCATATGACCTTAGAGCATGCATCAGAAAAACATTGAGTATGTATTTAGCTTAAGATTTTTATTGTCTATGTTATTGTTCATTTATATTATGCATGTGATTGTAAGCCTGCATGTGTGTGCATATTTGTCTCTGTGTGTGTGTGTGTGTGAGTGAGTGAGTGAGTGAGTGTGTGTGTGTGTGTGTGTGTGTGTGTGTGTGTGTGTGTGTGTGTGTGTGTGTGTGTACGTGGTAAAACATCAAACCAATGTGCCAGAACCTGGACAATAAAGATGTATCTTATCTTATCTTATCTTATCACCATGACCATAATGTTCATTCGAAAGTTATAATTCTGTCCCTCGGGGGACTTTAAGGATGCAGCTCATTAAACATACAATATCCTATTTCTGTCTCTTGAGTCAATGTCGTTCTTTCTGCAAACTGCTGAAATGGCATTTGTTAAGTGCTTGATGCAGTTCCCCAAGACACCAAATTACCCAAAATACAGACTGAAACAGAGTCACCAGAACCCAACTACCGCATTTTCCAGCCCTCTTGAAAATTTCTTCAGCGTAAGTCAGAGGTCGCATTATAAAGTGTCTCACATAACTAGTGATCTGATTCAGTTTACCGACTTAAATTCTAAATGGAAAGTTGGTTCTAAAATAAATGTACAGTTAAGGACAGATGCAGAAAATAAAATTGCGAAACAGGTTAGTTTTAACACCGTTTGAAATACTGTAAAACTTCTTAAAAGACCGGGCAGCTGAATGTAGGTTAACGTCCATCTCCAGCAGGACCGAGCCAAATAAGAAAATTCGTGTTGTCTTTCCCAAGGACACTACGTCGGACTGAGCTAGGCACAATCTGATAAAGTGTAGTCTCACGTTGAGACAACAGGTGACCAGATAGGTCGTGTAATGGTTATGGGTTTGTTTTCATTTTTTTAAAAAGAGAAAACACTTCTTTTTCTAGGCTACATGTTGTGTAATCTCGCGCTAATTTAGCTCATGATGTTAAAACTACATGTAATAAATGCAAGAGGACAGGCGTGGGAAAATAGGTTGTGCATGGAGAAGACAACAGATAGAAAATCGATTCAGATAGCATAAAGAATTTTAAGAGACAAGGAATACTGCCCTACCCCTAAAAGTAATCTAGTTAACTTTCCATTCAAGTCTGTTTCGCGTTTCTGTTATCTTCAGGTATGTTTAGTTTTGGGTTTTTTTTCTGAATTTTAATTTCTCTCTCCACAATAAATGTTTGTTCGTTTGTGTTTTGTGAGCGTGTGTGTGTAAAAATGTTAAAATCATATATCTGCCTGTTAGAATCTTGAATAATATCAAAGAAGGAAAAGTTTTGACCGTATGACTTGCTACAGAAAATAATGTGCAGTCCTGTTTCCGTTCCACTGAATATATCACTTGAATACGCATGTATGGTCTCTGGCCTCTGTGATACAGGTGGTAGAGTAACAATGCCAACGTCGGTCGCTTGATAAAAGTGTGAATTCCAAAATATTTCGAAAACATATTTGTTTTCGTTTTGTTTTCATATTTGATAGTGCCCGGTGAGATTTCCGTCCCTGTTCAACTATTTTTTCATTATCTCAACTCCAACGTGTGATCTGACGTAATACGAAAACCATGAATAAACACTGTGCCCCAAAAGTCGCCTGATGAAACGGTGGAATTCACGACCTCATCAGTCGGTTTGTGACTCGCGGGGGCTGACCGTTGTCGCCGTGAACACCTCGTTAGACCATTGAAATATGGGCAACTCAACTGGTCGGACGATATTCACAGTTTCCAGGCCGAAGATTATAGTTGATGATGTCGACAACATGCATTTTGCGGGAAACCCTCTCTGTCACATGATATTAAAGAAAAAAATAAGAGAGTGTAAGCATGTTTACAAAAAAAAAGTTAAAACAACATTTCACTTCTAACAACTCAAAAATGACGCGGCAATACTTAAAAACTATAGTTGTAGACGCACCATGATGGGCAAACATTCCTACACAAGACACGAACCCAAGTCAGTGTGTAGACAAACTGAATTCTTTTTACACTCGTTGTGACAACCACGACTTCTCCGACCAGCTGACAACTGTCAAAGAGACGATTCAGAATGAAATTTAGAGATCACATTTTCTTCCATGATTTTGCCAAAATTCCAGTCCACAAATCGGTCAAGTCGAGCAGACAAAAAGAAGTCCAAACTGTTAATTAAATGCAATATGAAGCCTCTGATATGCATAAGAAAGAGCGTACACTTACACACAATTGGAGAAAGAAAGATAGAAGGAGAGAGAACACGTGAATAAAGGAGCAGGATTTCATAAATTTCATACAATATCCCACTCCCACTTATGTAAGAATAATAGATGTTAATGTTGTTAAGATAAAGAATAGCTTTGTTTCACTCAGTCTGCTAATTTCATACTCAGTTTTATATTGGTCTTTTAAAATCTTTTGTACTACAGTATTGCGTGCTGTCATTTATTTCTAAACATACCAGGGCCTCTAAAAAGAGAAAACGCACTCCATAATAACCGTGAATACTACACGGCGTTTCATAAATCCTACTGATGAAATCGTGGATTCCACAGATTATGGAATTCACGACCGCACCCAACGAGATTTGAAAATTCAAGTCGTGAATCCCACTTTTTTTTTAATGACCATCTACGGTAAAAAAAAACCATACATACTGTAGTATTATTTCTAAAAGGTACTAGACTAGATTTGTACATTTAGTTTATGACTTAACCGTCAATGACGGAGAAAATAAGTTTTTTCACTCTTCTGCAATTGTGTTTTTCGTGTGGCTCGACCCCCTGAACCCGCAATCTCACCATTACAAGTTCAGTAACCTAACAACTTGGCTGCCGACGCCACCATTCGCCTTGTACCAGCACGGAAATAGTAGACGAACCAGTAATCAGTAGAAAAAAGAATCTTCTAAGTACACAATGAGTAGGAAAAGAACAACAGTTAACTTTTGCTTTTAAAAAATCCTGGGTTTATTTGATCAGAAGATAAAAAGGTGCAGAAATAGGTCGGTATCTATAACCGAGCTTTATGTATTGTAAAGGGCTCTAGAAGAGCCCGTGCCAGCTGCATCATCGCCTATCTCACCCAGGACCAACAAACACTTCTCCCTATCCCAGACTAGTTTCTTTTCATCGTTCAAAAGTCTTTTCAATTTTCTGTTCATCATTCTC